ATGCACGCCTCTCATCATGAGCAAGGTTGGGCATTGTTTGGTACGTTTTAGAGACATTATATTTCTTTTCCTAAGAACTTTCTGTTTATGACTATTGCTCATTTTCCATAGCTTTGTTGGTATTTTTCTCACTGATTTTTTAGGAAATTATTGCATGTTAGTGATCTGTGGTAAGAGTTGAAATTTTCTTTTCCCAGTTTATTCTTAAATATATTTTAATATCTATTAGGACTGGTCCCTACTACTCTTCTGTTTCAAAATTTTCCTAATTTCTTCTGTTTATTCTTCAGTATGAACTTGAATTTTAATTTAAGAAGAATTAAAAGCTCTCTGATCATTGCTATCATTGGCTTTATTTTAAATTTTTCCAATAATGCCTTTTCTGTTATTTTGATGGATAGATTTTAAGTAGACTCTACTGGCATAATCTGATACTAGAACATTCTTGATCAGCCCTGGGCTTTTCCTACTTGGTAAGATTTATGTGTTGGTCCTCATGCTTTCAGATAAGAGGACACAGAGGAAAGAATTGAGAAAGACTCAAAGATTGCTCTCTTCTAAGAATAATTCCATATGTTTTCTAGTCTAGTAAGCAACAGTTTGAATACTGAAAGTTCCCTCTAAGTTTCCAAAATATTTTGAGTCCTGCGTATTAGTTCTTTGTAATATTGTATATATTACAGAGATTTTTATTTTGGTCAAGCAAAATTTTCAGCAAAAATTTTAATTATCTCGCTTTCAGGGTGGATTATGGTGTTTCGGAGGAAATGGGCTTCCTTATGCTGAAAGTTTTGGAGAAGTTCCTTCAGCTACAGTGGAAATGTTCTGTTTAGAAGCTTTAGTAAAACATTCTGAGGTAACTTACATTTTCAAAATTTGGTTTATTTTTTATGATGACACTGAAAAAGTTATATATGTTGGTTATTCAAGGGAAATAATTCTCATTTTCTATAAAAGGAAAAAAAAGCTTTTTTAAAAAAACTACTTTTTTTTCAATTGTTAGAATTGATAATCATTATTTAGCACTGGTATATGAATTTCACTTTTGCTAAGTAGTTCTAAAAAATGGATTTAATCTTCATTGCACATAAAGCAACTCATTGTCTAAATATGGCATTCACCTTTGAGTTATGCTGTGTTCTGTTACCTTTCTCAGATAATTTTTACAAGTAATGTTATCAGGGAGTTAATTTCCAGTAAAACACCTGAGAAAGATGTGTCAAGATAGAAAAAAAGTAAATATTAGAAAACATATTTACTTGACCATGGTCTTGAATTGTAACTTGAATTGTAACTATATATATATGTCAATGATTTAAAAATTTTTGGCATTAAGACAACTTTTCTGTCATATTCAGAGTTTGATTTTAAAAAGAAAAAAGCAACAAACTTTGTGGTGCTCAAACATCAGTTCATAAAAATCATCGAGGAAGCATGTTAAAAATGCACATTACTGCTCACCTCTAGCAAACTTAGTTTAGTAGGTGTGGGCTAGTATCCACGAATTTGCATTTGTAACAGGCATCCCTGGTGAAGCTGATGCAGGTGGTTCATCCCACATCGTTAGAAACACCATCCTGGAGGTTCCAAATGCTCCAGTTTAATTGGGAACCACAAGACAGGGCTCAGAAGCATGGTGCTCTCTGGTCATCTCAGCTCCCACTGGTGGAATTAGGAATCCAGCAGAAAGCAGAGTCATTACTGTTACAGTTCAAAAGGGCATGTGGGAAAATGAGCTTGATTTTTTTTTTTTGTGACTTACAGCTAGTTTCTGAAGCAATAGGTGCATCTGCAGTAGAACGTCCAGTACGTGGAATGTGATAGTTACCTTTCGGAAACTTCTCAACTTACTACATATCTCACTTGATATATGTCTAAAAGGCATACTTTTAAATGCATTTGAAATAAGATAAAATTTAATGAAAATTTAGAGAATGAAAATAATTGCATAAATATGACATGATGTCACGTAAATAATAAAACTAGTGCTGGGAAGAGTCAAGGTCATGCTGGTGTCTTGGTGGGCTGTAATGGCTTGTCGGTCAATTCTGTCACCTTATCTTTTTATATATATTTCCTTTGGCTTTCTTTTATCTCTTCTCCATTAAGAGTTCACATCCCCTTTTCTTTCTTTTTTATTTTCTCTTGATCTTTCTCTTTAAAAATTTTTTCTGACTCTTGAGTTTTAGGAGAGCCCCCATAGCTGTGGGCTTACGTGGGGTGGTGTGTAGGCCCACAGGTGTTGCTTTATCTGAAAGTTTTTGTACGCAGAAGCAAAACCTGCCACTTACACAGGGGATTATTTCCTGTGATCAGGCGACAGGTTTCTTAAGGGTAGAGAACCCTTTAAGGTAGTATCAAGCCAATCAAAATATCACTATAAGTTGAGACAATTCTGTAATAATGACATTGTGGTTACATCCAGCCAAGAGCTAAGCAGAATAACTTTAAGAATAAAAATTTTAGAAGTCCTGGTGGCCTTAATTTTTCAGTGATTTTAAAGCACTTCCCTCACAGATAGGGACTTGCTTATTTGAGTGAGCTGAGAGTTTGGGGGTCTCTGGGTCTCTTCCTTGAGCAGGAGCCACCTGCTGCCCACCAGCATGCTGTGTCACCTGGTTAGTGAATTTGTGCAACATAAAGTGAGCTTTCGTTAATTTATTGTGCTAGATACCCACACACTGTGATAAAATTGAAGCAAATGGAGGCTTGCAACTACTTCAGAGGCTGTACCAACTTCACAAGGACTATCCTAAAGTACAGAGAAATATAATGCGTATCCTTGGAAATATGGCTTTGAATGAACATCTTCATTCTGCTATAGTTCACTCAGGTAACAACTTTACATACTGAGTATTTTGCATCCAGCCCTTTGTTCTCCCACCTCCACCCCTCATGGTACATTAATTTTTCAATAGGCTTAATAATTTACTTACCATTAGTTTTGGGTCCTTAGAGCATGTCATTTTAATAGGGGCAAGAAAGTGCTTGAAACATGTGGATAATTCAGACCTACGATAATCCATGTATGGACAGTCACTGGAGAGCAGTTTGTTTGCCATGATGACCATCTAATTGTTCATATTATCTTTGACATGATCTAAGCCAAGACGTATAGTCAGACTAAAAACAGGTTCACTGTATATTTAGTGACTTTCCCCCTTGCAACTAATAATTCATCTGTGGGGAGATACTTTAGATGAAAATTCCTGTTTGATCCAGTCTTTATCATGATGGTTGCACAGTGATGATTTTCCAGCGGCAGCATGCCCTCCTCATGTACATTTTAGCATCTGGCATTTTACTGTAAGCAAGAGCCTTTCCTGCTTTCTCTGTCCCTCCTTTTTTTCATCTTCTCCTTCCTTTCCTTCTCCCTCCCTCCCTACCTGTATGGGCACATGGATTCTTTACAACTTATTACTGTACTTAATAATTTGATGCCAGATTGTCTCAGCTTTGGTAGTGGGAGGCTGGCAAACTGGCTCCTGTGTCCTTGTGATCTGCCCACATCATTTTGGGAGGCATTCCTTACTTTCTGGTATAACAAGATGTTCCAGGCTCATTTCTCCAAGGAATCCTATTTCCTTTTAGTGGAGAATGATTATTAGAGACCAAGATCTGGGTTCTAGCTAGATGTGCTATTGCTCCTGGAGTGTCTTTGCTACTTGGCTCTTTTAATGGAGAAAGCAGGGTGATATATAAAAATATATGTACACATACAAAAGATACACATATGTGTACATATATGCATATGTTCATACACATTTATTAGAAACTATGAATTTCCTTTTTTATTGTATATCTGCTTTTTTTTGAATTTACATTTAAGAGTACATTGATCAGCAGAAGTTTTTAATTTGATGAAGTCTAATTCAGGGATCAGAAAACTTCTGTAAAGGACCACTTACTATATTGGGTTTATTTGTTTCTCTTTTTTATAGATTCTTAAGGTAGAAACTTAGTCAGATTTTAACCTTTTTTCTTGTTTAAGTGATCTATTGTTATGTATTAAACCACCCCAAAACTCACTGGTTAAAATAGCAATCATACATTTTGCTCATGAATGTGAAATTTGGGCAAAATTCAGTGGGAAAGGCATTTATGTGCTCTGTACAACATCAGCTGGGGCAGCTCAGCTATAGGGTGGAGAATATACCTGAAGATCGCTCACTCATATGGCTTGCAGATTGGTACTGGCCCTCAGCTGGGAGCTCAGCTGGGGCTGAGGCATTGGCTGCTTTCTGCATGTGCCTTGGGCTTCCTTAAAGCATGATGGCTGGGTTCTCAGGGCAGATATTTCAAAAGACAGCCAGGTATAAGCACTTTTGCCTTTTATAATCAAGCGTTGAAAGTAATTTTTGCCGTAACCTGTTGATTAAAAGCTAGTCACTAAGGCTAGCTCATATTCGAGGGGAAGGGATTTAGAAGGGGTTTAGACTCATCACCTCTTAATAGGAATAGTGTCAAAAGAAAACATGTTTTAAAATCATTACAATTACTTTCTAATATAGGTATTTAAAGCTGTAAATTTCCTCTAATCTGACTTTGGAAGCATCCCTTAAATTTTGGGTATATTGTATTTTCATCATTTTTCAGTTTGAAAGTGAATTTCTTCTTTGTTTCATGGGTTACTTAAAGTGTGCTGCATAATTTACAAATATTAATGGCTTTCTAGACATGTCTCTGATTTCTAGTTTAATATTCCATGTATTCAAAAAACACACCCTATAAGATTTTAGTCTTTGGAAATTTATTGACACTTATTTGATGGCCTATTTTATGGTCTATTTTGGTGACTGTTCTATGTGCACTTGAAACGAATTAATATTCTATAGTTATTGAGTGAAGTGTTTTATACATAACAGTTGGCTGATTGTATTTTTCAAATCTTCTCTAGACCTTTACTGAGATGTGTCTCTACTTTGATGAATTACTGAGATGTGTTAAATTCTTGGACTTGTCTGTTTCTTCCTTTAGCTCTGTCAGATTTTTCTTGCTGGTGAATGTTCATTTTTTATTATCAAGTAATGTCTCTAATACTTTTCTTCAAGTTTTACTTTGTCAGGTATTAAAATAGCCACACTGGCTTTTTCTTATGCTTTCTGTTTGCATTGCATATCTGTTACCTTTTTCTCTTCTTTTGCTTTCATTTTTCTGTGACTAAAAATAAGCACATCTTTTATAGACAGCACATACTTGTATCTCTTTAAAGAAATTCAGCTTGATAATCCCTTTTAATTGGAATATTTTGTCTCTTTACCTGTAATGTAGTTATTGATATTATTCGGTTGTGTCTGTTGTTTTGTGCTTGCGATTTGCCCCCTCTCTGTTTTTTGTGTTGTTTTTTTCTCTCTTTGACTTTTTCAAGGTTATTTGAGTATTTTTTATGTTCTATTCTTTCTCTTCTTTTAGATTTTTATACAAGATTTTTGCTGTATTTTCTAATGGCTGTATCCTTATCACAGTCTGTCTTGAATTAATATTATACCATTCGTATGTAATGTAAGATTCTCACAACAGATTAATTCAGTATAAATCCTTTATAGTTTTGTCATCATTATAGACCATAATATGCTGTAGACCACATACGTTACAGAACTTGCAATATGTTGCTGTTTTTAACAGTCAAGCGATATTTTAAGGATATAAGAAAAAAGGTTTTTTATTTACATAGTCATAATATCCAGTGCTCTTCCCTCTTTTCCGTATATCTAAATTTTCACCTGGTGTCATTTCCCTTCAGCCTAAAGACCTGGGTCTGCCGGCAACAAATTCTGTCACCTTTCTTTTTCTGAAAATGTATTGACTTTGCCTTTATTATCCAGAGAAAGGTTATTTTCCATGGATAAAGAATACTGTGTTGACAGTGTGTTATTTTTCTGTCAGCACTTTAAAAATATCATTTGATTCTCTCCTGGCTTCTGTTGTCTAATGAAAAGTGTTTCCTTATGCCCACTTCTGTTCTTGTATATGAAATGTGTCTTTTTCCCTCTGCTTTCTTTTAAGATTTTCAACAGTTTGACTATGAATTGCCTAGTCTATTTTTATATTTATCTTTCTTAGGGTCCACTGAGCTAACTGAACCTATAAGTTGATGTTTTTTATTAAATTTGGAAACTTTCCAGCTAGTATATCTTTAGATGTTTTTCTGTCCCTTTTTCTCTCGTCTCTCCTCCTGGGACCTCAAATATGTATATTAGATCTCTTGATTCTGTTCTACAGGTCATTAAGACTCTGTCGATGTCTTTTCAAATTTTTTTTTCTCTCTATGCTTTACCTTTCTTTTTTAAATTGAGATATAGTTGATGTACAATGTTATGTAAGTTTCAGGTGTACGACATAGTGATTCACAATTTTTAAAGATAATGCTCCATTTATAGTTGTTATAAAATATTGGCTATATTCCCTGTGCTGTACAGTATGTCCTTGTAGCTTATTTATTTTATACATAGTAGTTTGTACCTCTTAATCACCTTCCTCTATCTTGTCCCTTCTCCCCTTCCCTCTCCCCACTGGTAACCACTAGTTTGTTCTATATATCTGTAAGTCTCTTTCTTTTTTGTTATATTCACTAGCTTGTTTTATTTTTTTATTTTTTAATTTTTTTTAGGGGGGCAGATAATTAGGTTTATTTATTTAAATGGAGATACTGGAGATTGAACCACCTCATGCATGCTATGCATGCACTTTACCACCGAGCTATACACTCCTCTTGTTTTATTTTTGAGATGCCACATGTAAGTGATATCATACAGTATTTGTCTTTCTTTGTCCAACTATTTCACTAAGCATAATATACTCCAAGTCTATCCATGTAGTTACAAATGGCAAAATTTCCTTTTTTATGACTGATGTTTCATTGTTTATATACAGCACACCTTCCTTATCCATTCATCTGTTGATGGACACTTAGGTTGCTTCCATATCTTGGCAATTGTAAATAATGCTGCTGTGAACATTGGGGTACATGTATCTTTTTGCATTAGTGTTTACGTTTTCTTCAGGTGTATGCCCAGTAGTGGAAATGCTAGGTCATATGGTAATTCTGTATTTAGTTAGTTGAGGAACCTCCATACTGTTGTTCACAGTGGCTGCACCAATTTACAAGTGTTCCCTTTTCTCCACATCCTCACCATCGTTTGTTATTTGTGGTCTTTTTGATGATAGCCATTCTGACAGATGTGAAGTCATATCTCACTGTGGTTTTGATTTGTATTTCCCAGACAATTAGCAATGTTGAACATTGTCTCATGTACCTGTTGACTATTTGTATGTTTTCTTTGGAAAAATGTATATTCAGGTGGTCTGCCTATTTGTACATTTTTTTTCTTGATGTTGAGTTGTATGAGCTGTGTATACATTTTGGATATTAACCCCTTATCAATCATATTATTTGCAAATATTTTCTCCCATTTGGTAGGTTATCTTTTCCTTTTATTGATAGTTTTCTTTGCTGTGCAAAAGCTGTTAAGTTTAATCAGGTCCCATTTGTCTATTTTTTGCTATTGCTTCCTTTGCCTTAGGAGACATAAAAAGAAACACTACTATGATTTATATCAAAGAGTGTTCTGCCTATATTTTCTTCTAGGAGTTTTGTTTCAGGTTTTACATTTAAGTCTTTAATCCATTTTGAGTTTATTTTTGCATATGGTGTGAGAAAATGTTCTAATGTCATTCTTTTACATGTAACTGTCCAGTTTCCCAGCACCTCTTATTGAAAAGACTGTCTTTTTTCCATTGTATATTCTTGCCTACTTTGTCATAGATTAATTGATCATAACTGTATGGGTTTATTTCTGGGCTCTCTATTTTGTTCCTTTGATCTATGTGTCTGTTTTTGTGCTAGTACCATACTGTTTTGATTACTGTAGCTTTGTAGTATAGTCTGAAGTCAGGGTGCATCATTCCTCAAGCTCTCTTCTTGTTTCTCAAGATTGTTTTGGCTATTCAATGTCTTTTGTGTATCCATACAGATTTTAAAATTACTTGATCTAATTCTATGAGAAATGCCATTAGTATTTTGATAGGGATTGCATCAAATCTATAGATTGTCCTGGATAGTATGGTCATTTAAACAGTTTTGAGTCTTCCAATCCGTGAACCACAGTATGTCTTTCCATCTGTTTGTGTCACCTTTGTTTCTTTCATCAGTGTCTTATAATTTTCTGATTACAGGTCTTTTACCCCCTTAGGTAGGTTTATTCCTAGGTATTTTATTATATAAAATCCTTATTGGTGAACCCTTAATTTCTCTTTCTGACAGTTCATTGTTAGTGTATAGAAATGCAACAGATTTTCGTATATTTATTTTGTATCTTGCAACTTTACCAAAGTCATTGATGAATGCTGGTAGTTTTTTGGTGGTGGCTAAGATTTTCTGTGTATAAAGTATCATGTCATCTGCAGACAGTGACGATTTTACTTCTTCCTTTCCGATATGAATTCCTTTTATTTCTTTTTCTTATCTGATTGTTGTAGCTAGGACTTCTAAAACTGTGTTGAATAAAAGTGAAGAGAGTGGGCATCCTTGTCTTAGAGGAAATGCTTTCAGCTTTTCACTATTTAGTATGACGTTAGCTGTAGGCTTGCCGTAGATGGCTTTTATTATGTTGAAGTATGTTCCCTCTATACTCATTTTATGGAGAGTTTTTATCATAAATCGATGTTGAATTTTGTCAACAGCTTTTTCTGCATCTATTGAGATGATCGTTCGGTTTTTATTCTTCAGTTTGTTAATGTGGTGTATCACATTGATTGATAGGCAGATGTTGAACTCTTTGCATCCGTGGAATAAATCCCACTTGATCATGGTGTATGTTCCTTTTAATGTATCGTTGGATTCAGCTTGCCAATATTTTGTTGAGAATTTTTGCTTCTATATTCATCAGTGATACTGGTCTGTAATTTTATTCTTTTGTGATATCTTTGTCTGAAGATGATGCTGGCCTTGTAGAATGAGTTCAGAAGCATTCCTTTCTCTGTAATTTTTGGAACAAATTGAGAAGGACAGATGTTAACTCTTTTCTAAATGTTAGGTAGAATTCACCTGTGAAGCCCTCTGGTGCTGGAGTTTGTTTATTGGGAGTTTTTTTTTTTAATTACTGATTCAGTTTCATTGTTGGTAATTGGTCTGTGTACATGGCTGAAGTATAAAATCAAGTCATAGGACGGTAGTATATTGCTACTTGGGAAAAAATGCATATGGAGCTACAGTGTATATGTATAAATTAAAGGTATATAACTGAGTTTTTAAAAAGTTTTGGAAGAGTGTCTACCAAACTTAACTACAGTTACTTCTGAGGACATAAATGGGAATTGAGAAATGCTGGGAGTGCTAAAGTGGGACATTCATTATTAAATGCTGTCTTCGTTTATTTTTACAATTAAAATGTATCCAGAGGTTATATAATTTAAAAACAGTAAACATTTAAGAAAGACACAAGTTTTCCAAGAAGCATTTGATGGTTTATAAAAGGTGAAATATCTCAGGTTTTGTAAAAATACTTTGTCAAGTAAAAAATGCTGAAGAACTGGCTTGTGCCATGCTTTCTCTTATGTGTCCTTTCTTGTGGAGTCTTTCTTGTAACTTCATTAAAAATAAAGCCATATTTTTGTACATACCAATAACATACTACAGTATCTCTACAGGTAGCGTTTTAAAACATTCTTATTTTATTATTATAAAGCATTCTATAACAGATTTTGAAGTGAGATTTTCTGATATTACAAATTTGGATATTTAAGAATTATTAGGACTGAAATTTCTTTTGGATTACTAAATAATGGCCTCTTATCGTCACAATGATTCTCACCACTTTTGCCACAGAGAGTGGGAGGAGGACATGGAGACATGATCTCTATTGAGCACCTGCAGGGCAGTTTTGATACAGATTAATTTATTAGAACCTTCCTCCAGCTCAACGGAGCCAAGTAACTTGACCGAGGTTCCATAACAAGTAAGTGGGGGACAGAAATACGAGCCCAAGTCTCTCTAACCTCAAGGCCCATGTTTTGTTTTATTTTAAATTAAATAATACAAGAATAGACTGTCTTTGTAAATGCTTCAGAGAACATAGACACAGCCAAAAGGTCACACCCACCTCTATACAGAGCCCTCCCCAACCCCAGCTCCCACCTCAGAAGTAATGACTGTTCATTAGTTTGGTGCCTCTGTCTAGATCTGTGTGTATGTGTGTGTGTGCACGCATACACTTGCATACATATTTATGTGCATAAAGCAATACATTGTTTTAAACAACAAAAACATAAAACATAAATGAAATCATACTGCACAAAGTACTGTTTTGTCTCCCTTTAAGAAATAGTTTTTCCTTCCTGAACCTCAAGTTTTACAAGATTTTTGTCAAGCGAGTTCATTATTAAGAATCAATATCCTCGTGTGTATTAAGGGCTGCTAATATGACTGCCAATCTGAATAAAATAATTAATATTAAATCACCAAACTTAATATTTCTTGCTAAAGCCAAATACATTTTCTTACTGTTTATGAACTCATGTCTAGTAATTACAACTTTTGTTACATTTTCTAATAAAGAAAATGGTTCTTAACTTCTTTGAGACCCCTAAGGAGTACCTGGCTGGGGACATCATGGCATTGAGTTATGGGACCCAGAGGACCTTAGGGAAGAATGGAATTGGAGTGGTCGGGCTTTTCCACGTAGACTGATGCTGAGGTTTGCCTTCCTTCCATCATTTTCAGCCTGAAACCTCTCAACAATCCAAGATAGATAAGTGCCGATACGTAAGGAATATGTTCTTTTCACCAGGCTGGGTATCCATACTGGCAGAAGCAATGAAGTCTCAGCACATTATGGAGGCCTCACATGCCGCCAGGACGCTGGCTAATCTAGACCGAGAGACTGTGCGAGATAAATACCAGGACGGGGTGTACGTGCTGCATCCCCAGCACCGCACGAGGTAGGAGAGCAGAGTGGGGCCGCTTTGCTCCTGTGGGGACCCTAAGCTTAGAGGGCTTAATGTTTTAATTTATTTCTGCATAATTTAGGTAAGTTAAGTACCTTACGAATACCTTATTTACTGAAACAGTTTGCCCCTAATAAGCTCAGAAGAATTGCAGGCTGTCATGAAAGTATGGAACTAGCTAAATTACCTGGATATTTTACCTACAGGATGGCTGCATTCACCTTTTATAACGTGTCCCACTTAAACTTTGTATTGGTATTTCTTCTTTGTTTCGTTACATTTTTCATGTAAATCTAAGTTACTGACTGACGAGGGTTGTAGAGGTCAGTCTGGATGGGAAGGAGATAGGATATTATTATATATAATTACATGCAGGCAGCCAGATTAGCCTGGGCCTAGCACTCAAGGGACTGGAGAAAGTTCATGCCAAGTATAAAAGCATGCACCAGAAGGAATAAGCTGTAATAAATCTGACTCGTGCCCCTTCTTAAGGTTATTTCTGGTCGCTGTTTCCAGCTGTATCACAGGTAAGACAATAAATATAGACAGGACCACAATGAAAAAAAATTACATGTTTCTTGGGTTTTTGCCAGGCATTTTAAAATAATACCTCAGAAAATAGCAAGAACTTTTTTAAATCTGAAAAATAGATTGCCTGGTTAATTCCGATTTGTAGGTAAAAGAAATGATCAAGTATTTTACATCTGTTATGTAATTGTGTGTATATTCTAAATAGCTTGCAAGTAATATACGGCTGCAGTTTTTAAAACTGTCGTATCCAAAGAAAGAATATAAGTTACTTTAAAATCTTGTTCCACTTCTGATAAATACTATTTATTTTCCTTGATAAATTAGAAACAATCTCTTTCATGCATACTGAGTGTGAACTACACTAGTGTATTAATTTCTTAAATATTTTAATTGATTTGTGCAACATGCTCATGAAATTCTTTGGAGGGTAATCTGTGACATCTGTCGCTTCATTGATCACTAAGCACATTACAGTTGATTTTGGTTTGTCTGCCTGGCTAGCTATGCCTCCGTCTTTATAGAGAGAGCAGTGAACACACTTGGGTATGTCTCTGCCAAAACTTCTTGAAGGGTTCCTCAGCAAAGCTGTGCCTGTAAAGCATGCTTTAAGTTTCTTTTGTTATATAAACCTGCTAAGCATCATCCAGAGAGAGTGCTGTGTGGATTCTTATCAAAGCAGTAATGCATTTATTCTGCTTCTTTTTAAAACTCTCTCCCTGGCTAGTCAGCCCATTAAAGCAGATGTCCTTTTTATTCACGGCCTTATGGGAGCAGCATTCAAAACGTGGCGCCAGCAGGACAATGATCAGGATTTAACTGAAAACATTTCAGAGGATGAAACCAAGTACACAACCTGTTGGCCCAAGGTACGTACGTGGCTGACTCTGGCAGGCCACCCTTACCCCGACACGCTGCCGTGTCCCTGCCCACTGGAGCCCCCATTGTGACGTGCTTATAACTTTTTATTGGGGTTTTTTTTCTGTGCAGTTTTTCTTTCCCTTAGGGGCACTTATAGTATGTTACATGGACAACTGGGCTTGTCACTCTGTATTGTATAATTTAGGGTGCAGTCTATATGACTCTAAAAGAATATTCTATTAAGTAAAAAACAGGGGCAAAGGGCAAGGGTCAGTAATAGTTCACTTCCATTAAAAATATGATTGAACAAATAATATGTTAATAATAGTTGGCTAGTTTTCTGATTTTAATAATTATAAAAATAAAGACTTTAAAGAAGTCAGTTCTACTTTGGATTTCTTTGACATTATTCTAAAGAGCCTTAACTTTGGGATGAATTCATTGAATGATATTTATCTAAAGCTCAATGAATATGTATAAATAGTTTCTGGGGCTTTGTCCCACTGCTGCTCATTCACCTTCACAAGAGCTTATCAAGTAGGAAGAATGGTTTGCACTGTCTCTGGTGACACTGAATGTGGAGATGATAAAACTCAAGCCCACAGAGACAGAACTGTGACTAATTAGAAACTGAGTTCTCAGGTCAGATCCCTGACCATCACACTGTTCTGTCCTGAGATCATACCTTTCTATGAAATGCTTTCAAAAAGCCAGTTTGATCTAGATTCCAAAAACAGGCTCTGCTTTTAGCTATAGCAGATTAAAACTGAGAATATTCTCTTGAAACCTGCAGAGACCTTACGCTATTAATCGTGATACCTCCTTGTGACCAGAGATATAAAAAGATAAAATTGCCAGGATTGTTTTTCTAGTCACCTTTACACATGACTCCAGTGTGATGTTTTACTAGTTGTTAGTATTACAAGAGTCCTTTAGTTACGATTTCAGTTGCTAGGAAATAAGTGGGACCGTGGAAATTCATATTTTTCCTTTTATACCTTTTGTTTTACGTAGTCATGGTTAGCAAGCGACTGTCCTGCTCTCCGTATTATATCTGTGGAGTATGACACCAGCCTTAGCGACTGGAGAGCAAGGTGCCCTATGGAAAGGTAACTGAGGGGAAGGGTCCGGGCCACAAGGCCTCTGGGATGGAGGGGAGTTTTAGCTTTTGATGCCACAGACAGGATTTTCTTATGGAAAACTAACCTAACCTTTTTTTCTCTTCCTTCTAGAGGGAGTTAGTGATAAATAAACAATGAAACTATATAAAGCTTAGATATAGTGTCAATGTTGGGTTCCTAACGTGGTTCACTTATAGCTGGTCTCATAGTAAGGACCGTGGATTTTAGATTAAAGTCTCCTTTACCCTGGAAGCAAACATGAGGCTTTTGGCTTTTGTGTTCACAAGCACACCATGTAAAGGAAGCAAAGAAAGAGATGCTGAACAGTGTAGACTCCTTATGTCACTCGGACGTGCTAGGTACCGTTGTGTATCCAGGAGAGAGCCCGGGCTTCAGGACCCAGATGTGGCCAGTTCTGCCTGTGACACACTGTGCCATCCTAGGTCATTTAACTGGTCTGGGAAGTTTGGCCTACAAATTGAGAGTTGGTCTGAATCAGTGTTATCAAACTGAGTGTTACCTCTGAGTGACCCCCATGTAGGTGCCAGAGGAATGGTGCTGAGGGTCAAGGGGCACGACCCCAGGGCTCCTTCCCCATTTCACCCAGAGGAGCTCTCACAAACTCTGGTTTCAAAGAAAGGATTCTACAAATACACAGTTTGAAATAGACCAGATAGCTTTGGGGTTTCCTTTTAGGTAGAAAATTACTTATTTGATATTCTCTGATTCAAATAGCTTTCTGTTGTTTCTAAGTAACAAACCAAAATGATGAAAGCGTACTGTTTGTAGCATAAATACAAGTGGAACTAAACAGCAGTGACAGCTGACTCCGCAGGTGAACTCGCAAGGGACAGCACGGTCTCCGGTGCTGCCTGTCTTGTCGGGCCACGTACAGAGAAGGAATGCACGTCCTCGGTTGTGGGGGCCATGTACAGAGAAGGGACGCACGTCTTCGGTGGTGGGGGCAGAGTCCCAGGCCTGACCCTTGAAAATTGCCAGATACATGTTAGATGCGTCAACAATGCTTGTTTAGTAAATGTTCCCACTTACGCCAGTGTGACTAAGTTAAAATGAGGAATGAGCAGTTGCAGAAATCAACCAGAGAGAATAGGGGTGTTCCTGACTCCAAAGTGTAGCATGTAGAATTGGTCCAATAAACAAAAGTTCTTGCCTTAAAAAGTGGCTAGCAAAATTGGTGGGGGAGCGTTGTTGATAGCCTCCTGTCATGCCTGTTGTTTTCATTTTGTTCAGAAAGTCCATTGCATTCAGGAGCAACGAACTTCTTAGGAAGCTCAGAGCTGCTGGTGTTGGGGATAGGCCAGTGGTCTGGGTATCACATAGCATGGGAGGTAAGTATGTTTCAGTTTTGCCAGCAAGTACTGTGAGGCGGTCAGCCTTCGAGGCTAACCTAAGTTACTGTGGCTCTGCTTTATTTAGTAGTCCTTTTTCCCCTTCAATTAATGGTTTTGGCTATGGCTAGGAGGTTTAAAATTACTACTCTCCTTCCATGCTATTTGTTTTTTCAGAGGAGGGACAAGTAGTAACAAACCATATAACGAGAAAAGGCGTTTGGCAACTTAATGCATTCATTAGGCATTAAGCATGATGCTGAGTATCAGAAGCTGCCCATGGCTTATCGAAGCCCGATTTTTTAAATACCCCTCAGCATCTTGCCTGGTTCCGGGAGTCCCCTTTCTTCCCTGCTCCTCCAGCCATCGCAGAGTCCATCACTGCTTCAGTGCCCTCAGCCCCAGCCCCCTTCATGCCCAAGTACATGCGGTCGCAGGTGTCCACTCTTTGGTCCTAGTGCTTGCTTGCTAAGCCACATCTCCTCCTTCTCCCAAACCCCTCCTCTAATCCAGTTCTAAATGTTCACCATCCACCTTGCAGAGGGCCCCCAGCCTAGATTATCTGATAAAATAAATGCTCAGGATTGCTGACTCTTGAGTCTGGGTGTTTTGCTGAGAGAAAGGTGGATGTAGCCCTTTGTGTCCTCAGAGACCCACTGTCACCATCCATGTAACCTTTGTCTCACTATCAGCCAAGCCCAGGTAGGGGGACAGAGGAGAAGCTGCCTCCTGAGGTGCATTCCCCCCTAGCAGCTTTGTTTTCTTGGTGGTGGACTGGGAGACTATGTTTTTTTTTTTTAAATATCAGTTCTGACGTCATTAGTGACCTAGTGGAGTGGCTGCTGCAGGCAGGCTGGGGAGGCTGGCTGCTGCATTTTCACTTCATTGATGGACACACAACATAGCAATGCCTAAATTTTCTTCTGTGGGAAAGTACATCCTATGATATAAGACCTGCCTTACAAATGAGTTTCTAGAATCTCACCCATTTGTAGGCTTGCACTATATATTTTAGAGGATTAAGAGTTACCAAATAATATTTAAGGCTCTGTTTATTGGACTGCAGAGAATTATTAAACTTTTTTTTTAAAAGAAAGTACTTCTTCCTGTATTTGTCTTTTTTTTTAATGGAGGGCAAGAAAACAGCTTATGCATTGTTTTTCTTCTTCTCTGTGGCTAGGTCTTCTTGTTAAAAAGATGCTGTTGGAAGCCTCTAAGAAGCCAGAAATGAATACTATTATAAACAATACCAGAGGAATCATTTTTTATAGTGTCCCTCACCATGGATCCCATCTGGCTGAATACTCTGTGAATATTCGCTATCTTCTCTTTCCCTCTTTGGAAGTCAAAGAGCTCAGCAAAGGTAATACTTTCTGTCAGAAGGGCATTGTATTAACACCAGTTTCACAGGAGAAGGAGGAAAAACAGTTTCTAACTTGACTGTATTGCTTCATTTTCTGTGTATCAATTATGTTTAGACTATCAGGAAAGATTTTTAGTTTGAGACTGATTTTCCTTTGATCCCTTCCCTTTTTGTTCTTAAGCAAGTATTTGCTCCAATAGAACAATAATTTTAATACTATCTTAAGTATTTAAAAATTTTAAAGTTATATAATGTTTTGCTTTAAGTATTATTCCAAATTACAAATGAACTGCTTTTTTCCATGAGTTTGGAAAATCATCAGCTCTTAAAATATACATGAGCTTTAAAGATTCATCATAATTATAAAGTACTGTATTTTAGGGGGATTAATAAGCGCCTTCTCTTTCTCTGGAATACCTGTTAATCAGAATCTGGGGACCCCTGGCTTGAGCCTTCATGTGCCATTGTCTTTTTGCTCATATGTTCTCTGTTCTGCTTTATGGAGAGTTATTAGAATTATGTGACTTTTATATTCTTAATTTTCTGTTGAATTGTATTTTTTTGCAATCAGATTTTGTTTTCCACAAGCTCTTTCTTGTTTTGTGATCCATTTTCTTTTGAAATCATTCTAAAGATACTTATTAGGGGTTGGGGTTTTGTTTTTTTCCTTTCTGTTTGTCTTCCGTGCTCAGGTTTTCTGTTTGCTCGCTGGGTCTGTCTCTCTTAGGTTGTAGGTAGGCTTGCCTTTAAGACCTGGTGCTTCTTGGGTGCCCTTTCATATTTGAGGACGTGGGACAGGAAGGGCCGTGTGCTCTGTGATTATAGACAGGCCCTGTTGATGGAGGCTGTGCTTTAGGGTGGCTGTGGGGGTGCCGGTCAGCACACTGGGGGACCCCTCAATCCCACACAGCAAACTGCTCTGGGTACTGCCTCCTGTCAGCCAATAATGTGAGAAACCTCTCCCTCTGACACCGGTCTCTGTTCTGGGTTGATTTTAGCCCTTAATCTCCTCTTAATGGCTTCTTAGGAAGGAGAGAAAATAAACAAGCCACTGTCTTGAATCAGAACTGTAGTTTCCTCTCTAAATATGGAGGGTTGATGTCCATTTTATAGTGAAATAGGTAAACAGAACTTGTAACAACCTTGTTCTCTATAATTTTACAGATTCTCCTGCACTTAAAACACTACAGGATGACTTCCTGGAGTTTGCGAAAGACAAAAACTTCCAGGTGCTGAGTTTTGTAGAGACACTACCAACCTATATCGGTAGCATGATTAAGCTCCACGTGGTGCCCCTGGAATCAGCAGGTATTCACTCTTTTGCAGCTTGTTGGTCCTTGGATGCCTGATTGTGGTCACCATAAGTGTCAACTTTTATATTCAGTTTCTCAATTTTAGGAGACAGTTTTATGAAGATTTAGATTATATTATTCTTTTCAGCAATAGATTAAAATTTCTCTGCAAACATTTAACCTTGGCATTCCCCTCCCCTCCCTTTATTTAACTGGTTAGAGGGCAAAGGTTAATTGACTAACTCTGAGTTAGCCCTCAACAGTGAAGTCTTTTGCATTAGGTAAGACTACAGAGTGTCCTATCAGCTGGATTAAAAGGGGCATTTAGTAGATTGATCGCCACCTGCAGGAACCTTAAAGAAATCAACTAAAGATGTGGAAGCTTAGTAGAAATAAATGGAAGCTACATGAGGAGTATTCAAGCCACAGAGACGTCGAAGGAAGAAAACTAGTGTTAAAGTTCAGGCTCGTCCTAATGCTGGGGCCGAGGGAGGCGCACAGTACGTGCTGCCACGGCGCCTGCGCTGTGCTGTAGTGTGCCGTCAGCCCTCGGAGGGTAGGGCCCAAGTCTCAGTTCTGCTTAGAGCTTCCCCTGCTGCTCTCTGTGTAGTAAGCAGCCCATCCCTTTCACTCCCCGAAGGGCTTTTCTCTGGCTGGCTCCTTAGTTTGCTTGTCAGATCCTTTTCTGATCACCGTGGAGGCTGGCTCAGGTGCTGTCCTGGTGTCACTTGGCCATACTGAGAGCTCCCGGCAGCCAGGGATGGTGCGGATCTGAGCGCTTGCCAGATGTCCTTCTGTCTGCCGAACAAGTTTTGTCTTACTTCATTAATATGTTATCTAAATAAAATGGAAAAGGCTTGATAGTGGGACCTGAAGAGGCTTTACCTCAAAGTAACGTGCCACAGGGTGAGGGATTGTGATTTGATAATTGAAGAACTTGAAGAGTTCAAAGAACAGATTTTTTTAAAGCAATGACTTTGGAAACTTAAAGCAAAATTAATATTGCGAACCAGCTGCTAGTAGTGACGTAGCCTTGTCACAATTCTGTCCACCCTTTCTTCTGTGTCACCAGGTGGCTTGTCTTCCTTCATAACCACCACCTGCACTTCCTCGCCTACCTGGCCTCACTGGTACCTCCCTCCCTTCCATCCAGGTAGACTGTGTTAGGCTGAAACACCAAAAACTCAACCAACTCTCTCAAGTGCTGCATCGTCTCCTCTGCTGGGAGAGTGGTCATGGAGGTCTGGGGATAGAATGCAGCCCATGTGGGATGTTCCCATCCTTTTCATCAGTACAAGGGAGCTCCTCACCTCTGATATTCTCTAGTATGAAGTGGTTAAAAGAAGTGTGGAATAATTGCATAATAACCTGCAAGTGTATAAAAGTTTTGAGGATGACAGTGCTCAGGCTCTGTTCATGCTAAATTAAGATGTAGGCAGCACACATAGGCAGAATTTATGAGAAAAGCATAAAATTATTATACACTTACTGAGATGCCACTTGCGCGTGGTGAGTCAAATACAGTTTAGCTATACAGTCAAACTTTAAGTTCTTTTATCTCTTGAAAGAGGCCTTTGTCACAACCAAATCAACATTACAACTACGCATTTGGCCTCTCAACATTGACAGGGGAAGCTTGTATTTTTACTCAGATTTTATTGACTTTTTGTTTTCTTCAGATTTAGGCATTGGAGATCTAATTCCTGTGGATGTGAACCATTTGAACATTTGTAAGCCAAAGAAAAAGGATGCTTTTTTGTACCAACGTACCTTACAATTCATCCGTGATGCTTTAGCCAAAGACCTGGAAAACTGACAGTTGTCTTCTTCCATTTTCATACGTGAACACAGTGCAAGAAACGTGGTATTCTCTTTCTCTTTTTAAGCTCTAAGCAATCATGCAGACATAGTCACTGTGGCATCATTGTGGCCTGGAGTATGTTGCAGGCAACAGAATATTGTTCTGTAAAACACAAACACAGCACAGAAGTGGCAATCGGAGAATGAAGGGCTAGACTGGATTCTTTGGATATAAAAGAACCTCCCTGTGTGCCAGGTTATGTTCGGCAATGTCCCTGGTGACAAGGAGCAAGCTACTGTGGGTAGAGAATGTGACCTGTGACTTTTGTCATCTGTGACTGTCCATGGCTTATGCTGGGAGGAGCACTGATGGCTTCTGAAGGGAGAGCCATCGCCAACTTACCAATAAAAATGCCTTTTGGAGAGTACCTGTAATGGAGAGAGAATGAACTAGAACATAGAAGACTCTGTTTTGGGTCTGAGTGTCCATGTGCTGTAAATTTTAAAAAACTTGTCAGTGTAAAACCTTTGTCTAACATGTTAGCTTTGTTAGACCTCATGTCACCCATGGGCCAGTTTCTTGTAAGTTTTATTTTCATATTGCTGATACATATTTTTTTAAAAAAAGTTCTAGCCTATAATTTTTTCCAGACTGCAGCTGACAATACTTTTAATTTTTCCCAGATAAGAATAAATCCATTACTGATCAGAGTATGAACTAAAATGATTCTAAGCCATTGTAATATCAACAGTACTTAGTATCAAGATTCTCAGATTCTTTTCAGCTAAATAAAGGATATCTTCCTCTTGATCATTTAGAAGCAGTATTAACTAGTCTCTAGCATGTGAGAAATAGGAAATTATATTGATGACTTTTTCTTTTTCTTAAGCAATAGCATTATTGAGATACAGTTCACATACCATAAAATTCACCCTTTTAAATATACAGTTCACTGATTTTTAGTGTATTTTCAGAATTGTGCAACCATCACCACTATCTAATTTCAGAATATTTCCTCATCCTCCAAAATAACTGCACACCCATTAGCAATCATTCCTCCTCTCCTCGCAGCCCCTGGTAAACACTGAGTTTCTTTCTCTCTCTATGGATGCCTATTATGGAAGTTTCATATAAATGGAATCTTAAAGTAGGTGGCCCTCTCTGTCTGGCTTCATTCTTTTAGCATCACATTCTCAAGGTCCATCCATGATGTAGCATGTGTACATGTAGTACTTCATTCCTTTTTATGGCCAAATAATATACTGTTACATGAATGTACCACATTTGCTTATCTGTTCCTCAGCTGATGGAGTTTAGGTTCTTTCCATTTTGGGGCTGTTATGAATGAGGCTGCTGTGAATGTTCACGTACAAAGTTTTTGTGTGAACGTGTTTTCCGTTCTCTTGGGTATATACTAGGAGTGGAATTGCTGGGTCATGTTAAGCTTGTTTCCCATTTTGAAAATGATAGACATAGAATGGGATAGTCAAAGCTAAAACTGGAGTATTGCATCTGAAGGTAAACTGGGCTCATCAGTAAACTCTCAATAACTAATTGTTTAGTTATGCAAAAACTAGCAGGTGACCTAACTATTTTATTATGTAGAAACAGTGTGATAGTTAGTTAGCTAACAATAAACTCTTAGCTTTTGAGATGACATGGGGAGAGGGGTAGATATGTTTGGTTCGTTTTCTTTTTCTGTTTTCCATGAACCATGGCAGATATGCCATGGCTGGAACATCTGTTCATGAACCTAGAGTAATAGGATGAAACCCTACTCTTTAAAATCTCAATATAGCCATTATAGCTGTGTTTTAAAAATAAGGTCTGGGAGAGAGATCCAATGTATTTCTGAATTACTGTAGTTTTTCAGACAAGTAACTTAACATCTGTTTATTCTATTTATAGAATGGATGTGAGATACACAGATTCACTTCATCAGGTTTGTGAGATTTAAGTCAGTAATGTTTTAAAAATAATCATCACCTGAAAAACTCTAAGAACAGAGTATGAAAACATACATATTTGAAAGTTTTAAACTTAGATCATCAATAAAATGGTTCTTAGCCTTGTTTAAGTATCTTTTCTGAAAAAAAAATTTCAAATGAAGTTTTATATTACTTTTCCCTTCATGTGAAAAGTCTCTTTAAATGATCTATCCAAGAAGGAAATAAATAGAATACAGCTTTATAGAAAGCTGAAACTACTGAAAGCAAGCTGTAAATAAAATTCAGATGAAAATGAAAAACCAGTTACTCTTATTCATAACCTTTTCTCTTTCTGATTACGTTGTCTACCGTGAAAGTCAAGAGCACTGAGTTCCCCTTTACTCCAGTGTTTAAATTAAATGTCATCATAGAAAGAGACCCAAACGGAGGGCCATGGTACCTTTCTCGACACTGTCTCAACCATTCAACCAAGGTTACACCAACAGCCAGAACGTGGTGGAGGGTGCGGGCCTCTGCTCAGTGGGAACGCCCGTGGTGGTGGGCACCAGCACTGATTTCCTAGAGACAAAGACAGCACAGTGATACAGTGACGTGTATATCTCTTTTGAACTTGGTTCGTAATTCACATTGCCCCTCAAATTATTTCCAAATCCTAAAATTTGAGCTTTAGGCATACCATCCTAGTTTTCATCTCTTTGTAATATTAAGTATGTTAATACATAGTTTGGTTTTTATTGACATTTGGTATAAAAATGATGCCCGTGAAAAAAAATTTAAATGTCAATAAATGCATTTTAAAGTACTTAAGTACAATTGGATGTGCCTTTATGTTAGATATTGAACACTCCCAAAAGCTTAAAATCTATTAGAAAATTATTTTATAAAAAGTAATATTTTATTATAAATTTCCTTAATAAAGCTAAAGACATAGAAAGTTTAATATCCAAGAAATTTCCAAATTCAGAAAAAATTATTCTGGTAAAAATTCCAGTTCTTAATCTGCTTTCTGCTTGGCCTTGGAAACAGTGACACGGAGTTCAACACCTGGACCCGGAGTTTGGAAACACTAAGCTTACCAGAACCTTTGATTTTTAATTTAATTCAGACTTTCTCTCAGGATTGTTAAAGCTAATTTATACTGAAAGTTAGATAGTCACTGATTCTTAGGACCACTAGAGTGCCTGGATACGAACACAGTGTTCAAGCAGAAAAGACTTTTGTCGTGTATACAGCAATAATTTAGAGTTCAGAATATTCTGACAACTGGGATTACTAGATTAAAACATTTCTAAGAGTTCTTGTCCAAGATGGTGACCTAGGAGGCTCCTGAACTCACCTGCTCCACAGACCGAATCTACAGCGACACACAGAACAGTTTCCTCTGAAATAAATTCAGAAACTAGCTGAGCAGCTCCTACACACTGGGTGAATGAGAAAATGCCCAATTGAAATGGGTAGGAAAGGCTGAGACACCTGAGACACTCTCACCATGAATCCCATCCCTGGCACAGGGAGATTCAATCAGGAGGCAACACACAAGTCCCAGCTTCTGCCTCAGGAGTGAAGAGTTTGGACCCAACGTCTGGTGCCCCAACTTTTAAGTCCTCCACCTGAAGGATGGACCCCCACCCCCAAAACACTTAGCTTTAAAAGCCAGCAGGGCTTGCATTCACAAGACCCATGAAACTGTAGCAAAGAAACAGTTCTGAATGGGCTTGTAAGGACTCACAGTGTCTATCCCCCCCCACCCAGGGCTCAGCACAAGGGCAGCAGACAGAAATGCCTGTCTCCCAGTCTTTTCCTGAAAGATGCCTATTTGCGTATCTTAAAAGCTGCAGCCTGAGGGTCAGGCTTCTAAACTGAACACACATCTAGAGTATGACTGTGATCTTCCCTGGAGACCAGGGAGGCTGGTGGATTCTGTCTCTGCATTCTCCCTCTGATCCACTCCAGTTTGCTGGTGTCTCCCTGGAAGGAGCTTGAGCACCTCTCTGGTGCCCTGGCTTTTGTGGCTGCTGCCCATGGAATGCACCTCTTGATTACCTGGCTCCGGTGGCCAGCAGGCCTTCTGTTTGTAGATCCCACAGGACTGAAGTAATCAAACAGTTCCATCCCCCTATTGCTCAGCACAGAGGGAGCAGAAACACCCATCTTCAGTCTTTCCCTGAAAGAAGTCTGTAAACTTTAAAAGCTGCTCTGAGGGTTCAGTTTCCAATCAGCCTGCATCTAGGTACTGAAATGCTCCCCACCCCCCTTTGGAACACTGCCAGATCTTGGCAGAATCCCAACTACCCGGAGCCACTAAGAACAATAGGAGGCTCAATCACAAAGTTTGAGAGACAACCAAGAGCTCACTGGGCTCAATATTGGGTTCATCTCCTGCATGAGACCCCCGCTGTCAAGACAGGGCAAGGTTGCTGTTTTATGTCATGCACAGAAGCCAACACAGAGAGTCAAAGAAAATGAAGAAACAGAGGAATATGTTCCAAACAAAAGAGTAAGATGAAACTCAAAAACCGTAATTAAATGGAGATAGGTGATAATTGCCATAATAAAGATGCTCACCATGATCAGGAGAGTAATGCTTGAACAAAGTGAGAATTTCAACAAAGACATAGAAAATAGAAGAAAGTATCAATCAGAAATCACAGGGCTGGGGGGAAGAGGCAAGATGGCGGTGTAGAAGGACGCTCGTAAGTCACCCTCTCCCACAAATACACCAAGACCCACATCTACAGACCCACTCAGCCAACCAGAGCACCTGCGGAACTCCGACAGAACATCGCCCTCTTCAAAAGATAAAGACGCCAAAAATCTGGTAGGAGAAAAGGAAAAAAGAAAGAAGAAAAGGCAAAGCAGCGCGGGATGGGTCCCGCGGGGAGGGAGCGGCAAAGGAGGACTGGCGCTCGCTCGCTGGGTCTCCCCTCTCCAACTGAGAGGCCAGCTGGACGGAGGGGGAG